GATGCAGTACTCCAGGTGGGGTCTCACGAGAGTGGAGTAGAGGGGCAGAATCCCCTCCTTTGACCTGCTGGCCATGCTGCTTTGTTGCAGCCCTTTAATTGGTAGATGCATTATGGGAATAACATACTTACACAAAACAGTTATGTCAGGAAACGTTATTAACCTACTGATTAAGCTCATGAAAGCTTCTTTTGAGCTGTTTAATCTTTGCAGTCATGAATACCTTATAAAAGTTTTCACCCCGAGTACAGGTACTTTCATTCACCAAAACTTAGAGCTTCAGATTCTCGTGCTGAGCTGGTTTGCAATGGGACCCTGCAAACCGAGAGGCTGGGAGATCCCTAGATCCAAGTCCCTTTTCATATTGGCATCAGCTTCTCATTACAGAAGACGTGCAAATCCTGAAATCTGTCCCGCTTTTAAAACTGTTGCAGCCTGTGTGGGAGGTAACTCCGGATGGTAACTGGCTACGAGTTTGGATAAAGTAATGCAGAACAAACTCTTTGAGTGTTAAAGGGCAGCTGTGGGGGGACCGGCTTTGCTCTGTGGCTGCTGGTGTTGCAGCCGTTGCTGCTACGCGCTGTCAGTGCTGTGCGATACGAGGACGGTTTTGAATGATGAAGTGTTCTAGAAACCAAAGTCATTCCTGCTAACGTTTATGTTAATTTGGTCTCAGTTTAGTCACAGGGAAAAACGAATGTGTACCAAACAGCAGATGACAGTATGTGCAGGGAAAAACAAATTTAATTCTAAGTTGCTAAGAGAGTATCATAAATATCAGAAAATAAACTGTTTAAACTGAAGAATTATTTTACAGGGTCACTGAAATCATCTGCAGATGGTTGTCCTTTGCTGCTCTTCCAAGCCAGAGCAAACAGGCTTTAAAATAAATTCCTGAATCATTTTTTGCCAAGGTCTGTGCTTTGATAACATCTGCAGTAATATAAACGCTTCAGCGTATACTCACCGTGAATGCAAAGTCTGAATTACAGTTGCTGGCTGTCTGAACAGGCTAATGATAATCATTATATTGATAACAAACAGCATTGCTTGTTCATACAGCACAAGGTACTGTGATTTATGGCAGGCCACTGGGTAATGCTGTGATAAAGTTTTAAATACTTACTTGAAATGGAAGTGTAGTACTCTGGGAATACGGTGTCGAGCTGGTACGAAACCTGGTCAAATTGGTTTATAGTAATTAGTCAAAATGATAGGAACATCGTCACAGCAGTTACTTTTTATCCTCCTGTAAAGGACTGATCAATAGACTTTCCATTCATTTTTTCTTTTTTAACAGTATTTTCTGTGAAGAAGAGAAATTATTTTGCTTTTAATCAGGGAAAAAACCGTCAGAAAGATTTATTGGGTTGGTTGCCAAAGTGCAAAGTCGTCTTTGCGTTGAGGATGAAAGGCTGTCGCTCTTTTCTGGTAGCCATGGTTGACACGCAGCGCTGGCACTCGCACCCCTGACCTGCGGAGGCAGTTTCTATACGGAGCTCTCAGCCTCACGTTCTCTCCTAAGGGTCCGCCCGGTTTTCTTCATTGTATCTCTGCTTTGGTGTGCATAAACTGTCTCCTGCTGTTTCAGAAATACCTCCATGAAGCCGTTCCTGCGTTTCATGGGACGCTGGGTGCTGAGCCCCACCGCAGAGCGCTCCCTTTGCCACTGCTGCTGTTTCACCACGGCGCTGGCTTCGGAGGCAACGGCTCTGCAGCGTCTGCAAGTGACCCTGTGGTTAAAGTCGCTTCAGACAAAGCGATCTAAGGATGTGATTTGCAATATTTAGACCTAACAGAAAACATTTCATTACCTGTTGGCTTTTCAAGCATCTCCTCTCCCGATTCCTGTGCCTGTGATTTTCTTTTTATTGTTACGCTGCTTATGGACATGAGCAAGGTCGGGGACCAACTTTGTTAAGAGCACAAATGCACAGTAAGAGAGTCCTTTCACAAAAGGCTTATGCTCTAACTAGACAAAACAAATGCAGGTTCAGAGGGAAAAAAATACTGTTTTCCTCATTTTATATAGGAAAAATGGAGGCAAAGAGACTTGCTCACAGTCACAGTAGTCCAGGAGAGAGAATCGAAGGAAGATTGCTGACTGCAAAACCCACGGTCGTTCTTTCCCCAAGCGGGGTGTTGAGATGTGGAGATCTTGTAGCAGTTATTTTGGAGGAAAAACAGTAACAAACACTGGCCTTTTTTTTTTTTTTTTTTTAATTTTTTACCCACGGTCGTTCTTTCCCCAAGCGGGGTGTTGAGATGTGGAGATCTTGTAGCAGTTATTTTGGAGGAAAAACAGTAACAAACACTGGCCTTTTTTTTTTTTTTTTTTTAATCCTCACTCAAATTGCAAGTCTCCAGCTTTTAGGAAAACGTTCTCGCTCTTAAAATGAAAACACGGAGTGTGAAGGAGTGGAGGTGTCAGCTAAAGGTGAATTACTGGCAGGTGACTTAAGTTTCTCGGCTGGGTGAGGAGAGTCGTCGTGCTGGAGCAGAGGGTGCTTTGCTGCACTTTCCTTCTAAGCGAAGGCAGGATACCAGGACGGGCTGAACCGCCATCGCGCTTGGCAGCGTGCCGAAAACCCCGCGGAAGGGAAGTTGAGCTGTTCTGTCTGTGATGTGTGGGCAAAGCGATGCTTGCGGAGGTGGAAATGTATCTCTTGAGCTGCCCAAGGCCTTGCCAGTGATCTAGTTCATGAGCTTGGGGGAGTTTCGGTGCTGCAAGGATTTTGCGTCTGTACTCCCTGCCTTGTTCCTTTACCCCGACAGCTTCTCTTGAACTCTGCAGAATATTTCTGCAAGCCTGAAGCACTGGCAGGGTCCCTCTCTGGCAGACAAGAAAGGATGCTTAGGCTTTCTATACAAAAATGCAAGCAGTAGGTACGTTACTAGAGGGTTTTCTGTCAGGGCAGCCCTGCTGTAGTTTAATCTTTCCACAAACTGTCTCAGCATCCGATGTTGGATGTTTGTCTTTTGTAATCTTTCCGGATAGAAAATGAATTCAGTCCTCTGGTTTTGAAAACCAGCAATAGGTATGTTATGACTTTCCATATTGTGATTTCTAATTTAAATAGTGAAAAAATACTACTCTGTTTTATTTTTCCCATACAGAATTTTTTTTTTAAGATGACAGTTAAATTTTGTACCTTAGATACTGTGCGGCATCTGGCTGTGCATAAGGCTACATCCACAGGGGGCCAAAAATGTGCAGAATTGCCTTTTTGCTTCTCAGTCCGCAAGATGTCAGTGATAATTGAATTTAACTTTCATCGCATTGACAAGAGGGCAAAAATGGACTGAGAAATTTAAAAGTATGACTTAAAGTAGAAGGCTTGCAACTTTTTCCTGCTATTTCCAATTAAACAGTTCATTGTTAAACGGGAAAGGTAATTCACAGAACATAAGAATAGTCCTCTAGGTTAGACAATTTTTATTGTGCCAATGTCTGTCCTTACCCGCGGCCTACAGTAGATGATTTAGGAAGAATTTGAGGACAGGGAAAGCTCTGCAGTTCTTATGAAACAGCCCCTCCAGGATATATTTTAGGACCTTTAATTACCTGTAACTGATTCAAATCCTTAAACCTGTAGCAACATGTTTCACATCGTTTGTGAACTGCATATTAACAGCCTCAAAACATGTCCCAGACTGTCGTCTTTAACTGTGGATACCTCTCTGTTTCTTCCAACTGGTGTTTACGCTTGCCTAAATGGAGATCTGAGGAGCCTCCGTGGATGGATGTGAAACGGATATAGCCATGCATGTTTCATAGCCTTTGCTTTAGAAGGTCTGATCTTGAAGCCTGAGGGTTCAAAGATCCTGCAGTGACAGTCCAAGGAGGTGTTTGCGTTTTCCTAAAGACAGACACTGAAACAAATCCATAAAAGGTGGATTTTATGGATCCTTAACATCACCTTCCTGGTGTTAAGACAGGTGAGGACAGTAGAACAATGTTGGTGCAAATCATTCCTCAGAGGGAGTCTAAATCTATATATTTGTCACGTATCGAAAGAGAGAAAACATATGCTTCTTTTATCTTTGTGTATGATGCAGATCCGTACTTGAAATGAGCTAAGCACTGGTCTCCAATTCATTTCACCTCATTACTTCTGAACATCCGACTTAGAATTTCTCTATCGAGACATGAGTGTGCTGTGAAACTTGTATTGTGAATCAGTGTCCTGGCTTTGTTTGGACTGAGTTTCTTGCTCCAGTACCGCTGAGGTGTAGTACGAAAAGAACATAACCTGCTCTTTCTTTTCTTTAGGAAAGATTGTTTGTCAGTGAAGAAAACGTTGATGGATTTCTAGGCACTGTTTTATGCCCTTCCTTTTGCTCCCAATCAGCGCTGGAAAGTCAGCCGTTAATTGAAGTGCTTGATGTTACTGAGGACAGAATTCAAATCAGGTTGAAGGTAAGGATCTCTCTGGCAGTAGTACGTATTGCTGACTGATTTATGTACTTCAGCAAGATCGTATCAAATCTGACCGAAACACCTTTGTTCCTGTTTTGTCTTGATACAGCAGGGAAAACCGTGGAGTAGGGTATATTTGCAAGTATATATGTCAGTTTTGAGAAACATGCGTTCACGTTTGTGCCGTTTAATGGGACCAAGGGATTGAAACCTCCTATACTTCATTGGGAAGATGGAGAACTGCAATACAATCGTTAAAGACAGTGCTTTCTCCTTGCAGGAATACAGCATGGCACGCACATGCTAAATCTCTTGCTGGTATTAAAAGAAAAAAATCACTAAGTAACTACCTAGTATCCCTCATTCAGAGGGACTCCAAGCGCTTTCAGGTCAGAGCTGATGACAACGTGCTGCAAACAACTCAGGGCAGATGTCGTCAGAACAAAACCAGAATAAAGCAGTGAATAATCCACGTCCTTCAAATACCCAAAAGTTTGGGTTCATATACTGGAGCCCGCAGTTAAAGCATGCCGTCTCATTCAGGCTACCCTTCTTCCTCAGTCACCTTGTCTACATAAAGGATGCAAGGTAGTCTGTTTCTGAGGTCTGCCACGGGATTAAAATGACCTCCCTTTGCAACATAGGAGATGGACAGATGAAGAGAACAAAAAGTTAGTTTTGTGAAGAGGAAAATGTGAGGTAAAGCCCCCAAATCGATTGGGGTTTCTTGGCAGACACTGCATCAGAAATTCATTTAAAACTTTTCTTAAAGGAAACACGGAAAGATAATATGCAGGGATGATCAAGTTACTTCTGTGGCCATAAACTGGAGACTGCAGATATAGTTAATGAGTAGACAGCTTCTTGGAAAGCAAGTTCAGATGAAGCATGTGACCTCTGGAACTATGCTGGTGGAGGACTGAGGAGTTTAGCCTAAAGATAGTGGCTCCAGCATTACTTGACAGGCTTAACTTTTGTAGCTGGTGTGGACTGTACATAAAAATTTAAAATTCAGGTTGTTGGAGAGCAAATGTGGATGTTTTGGTACCTGAGAAAGGGAAGCTAAGATATCTTAAATCCCTTGGACATTCACGTAGGAGAATCATCCAGTGCTGAGAAGGACTTACTAGTGTTTCTTTTGTTTCTTGCTGGAGTGAGCACTGGTTTTAGGGTCAGAGAGGGCTGGGTGTGTGAGAGAGCGACTCAATCTTTGAATCCATGAATCCAGCTGCTCCTGGACAGATGCCTGCCTGATCCTGACTGTCCACTGATAGGGACATACGAGTTACCAGCTGGTTTTTGCTAAAGCAGCCAATAGCTAATGGTGAAATTGGGTAGCTGCTATTTAGATGGCACTGGGTCTCCCAGTTCATACTCTCCTGAGGCAAACTGTAGCAATTCCTGGATTAACTCGCTTAGGCCGATTGAGAAAGACAGCTCACTTACCAGTTACACCTTTCACATACGACAGGACGGTGATTTCCCTAATCGCAAGGTTAAAGCACACTTCTTGCAATGAGAGTTTAAGATCTCTTGGCTGATTTTGTGGCCCCTGAGTTCTAGAAAACAACAGCCAGGGTGTGGTGAGTTGCCAGTCTTCCCTGCTGTTAATTGCGACAGAGGCTGTGGCCACTTGGCAGCTGCCCAGCAGCATTTCCTATTGCAGAGGAAACCCTTGGGAGGCAAACAACCTCCCTGCCACTCATTCCCACGCGCGCGGTACAAGATCAGGAAAACCTCAGCACCGCACTGACTCCGCTTTCTGGAAGTAGATGTTGGAGAAACAGGTGTCTTGGCCTGTCTTTACAGCAGTTTTGTGTGCCCAGTCCGTTTCGACTATAAAACAATTCATTTCTTTTCTCGACAGCCGCAGGAAGCAGTCCATTCTGAACGTGACGGAAAACAACAAACGCTTAGCAGCTCAGGAGGGGATCTCGCTGAAAAGGCGAATGGCGACTACCCCCAAGCAAAGGCAGAAACAAACTGTACTGCAGCTGACACAGCTGAAGAAGAACGTGCTGCAGAAACCAACAAAACTTCCACATCTTTTGCAACAGCTGAAACAATAGGAAAAGTAGGTTGTAGTTCACACCATTGTTTGCAGCATGAACCTTCTGACACCAGTTCAGCGATTCCTGGCGAATCTAGGAGAAAGGAACCAGATTTAGAAAGTGCCGTTGCAGTAGGCGAAATGGCCGTGGCCGCAGACTCTGAAAAACAAGCAGGCCTTCTGCTGGAGGGGTGGGCAAAAGCAGAAGGGGATGAAGCGGCTGCGCCCACAGGGTTGGCACAGGGGAACCAACGCAGCTCGGAGAGCAGGCCAGCCTCCCCAGTTCTCCAAGAAGTGAGCACGCAGGATGGGAGCGTGCAGATCGTTAGGGATCATGTAACGCACTGCCCGGTCGTGTTTCAGAATTCTTTGCTGTATGAATTGGACTAGTTTAATTATTTTGGGATTTCCTTCTGTTGTTCGAGGCTTACTGCGACTTCCACGTGCTGGTTTATGACTTCAGGGCTAAGAGTAGAACACAGGTTCCTACTGAAACTGTTTTGTTCACACGTCAACATAGAATACTTACGTTGTTAACAATTTCTGAAGTTAATAGGTCTGAATCTTCTAATCACATGTATAGGCTGAAATAGTTTTACTTACAAGAAAGATGCAGTTGAAGGGGAATCTTATATTTATTGTTTACATAGCTTTCTTAGTCTCTTGCTACTTTACAGGGATTATTTGTATATATCCTTTTTCTAATGGCTCCCTCGGGAATTGCTGTGTTTAGTCCACCTAGAAATGAGCAGTATTCATCATTTTTCAAACCTTTCATTTTGTGATAACTGCAAGATTAGACTTGCACTGATTTTTAGCAATCAAATGAAATTTCTAATTGCACGGAGAAGTTCTAATTAGTCTCCCAGAAATAATCAACACTTACACCATGTATTCCATCCTAGCACATTACTTCAGAACACGGCATCCAAACATACCCCAATCTGTCAACCGAACGAATTCGATTGCACAATAAAAACATCCTCTCTTGTTGCACGTCTGCTACTAAGTATGTACAGTTTGTAAAATGGATTCACTTTATCCAGATTAGCTTTACTTTTCAGAAAGTTCCCCACGAGCTTCAGCGTGCTGTTTGCTGGTCCGTCTCTCTAAGGTGCGATAACCAAAAGAACATATTTAATAATAATAAACTTTCAGTTCCCTTTCTCACTGCTTCTGAAATAACTTCTGTTTCCTTTTGAGTTGTACGAGACACAGATGTGCTTTAGAAGAAAGTTAACTTTGACTTCTTTCACAGCTGCTCTGGAATTACTCTTCCATTTCTACGTTAAATGCGAGTGCGTGCAGTGGGGGTACATGGTGTAAGCTCTATTCTAAGTAAGTTCAGCGGAAGCCACAGCAGCCAAAAGCACCTGCCCTGCCCTCTACGGCAGCACAACACTGACCCAGCTGAAGGAGGGTAAGTGGTTTGCTGGGTTAAGTTTCACCCCGATCAGCTCTGTCACACAGTCGCGCAGCTCCTTGTGGGAGGTGTCGACGGGCTGAGGCACAGGCCTGGCTTTTGCAGCATCAGCTCTGACTCGGTGAAACTATGAAAATGGAGCAAGTACCAAAGCTGGTACAAAATCCTGGCAGTTAAATTACTCCTGGAAAAAAAAAAGAGCATCTTATCGTGGTCACAATAAACATCCGCATACTACTGACAGTATTTCACAAAACTGGGCGTTCTCTCAAATGAACGTTTAACCGATATATTCGCAACCTGTAAAGCAGGTGACAAATGGTGGTAAAAGAAAAGCCTTGCTGCATGCCCTTCCATTCGTAAGTAACTGCTGTAGCCGGAGTCCTAAGAGCACCAACCCCATTTTCTCTAATTAAAAAAAAAAAAAGCTGCTTTTTTCTTTTTCCTCTCCAAATCTCTCAGCATAAAATCTACCCCTAAATATCACACGCCTGTCACCTTAGCGTAGCGTTTCCTTTAACGTGCTCCTCTGTTCTACAAAAAGCTGCTCGTGTGCTACTGCTACCAGTTGTGCTTCAAAGTGGAGTGCCATTAAAGCAGCCGTGCCGCTAGACTCGGAACAGGCGAGGAAGTGTTCGATGTTAACGAACGGCTCTGCTCTCCCCCGTTCACGGCTTTCAGCTCCAGTTCAGCGTGTTTCCATTACACAGCAGTATTTTTTACTGGTCGTTTTACGCAGCTGACTAATTTGAAAGCGAACTTTTTTTTGATCCAAACAAAAGAGGTGTCGTGCCACCCATTTGTTACTCTATTCTGCCTCAATTAGTGAGTTCATTAAAAATTTAATGAAGTTAAATGCATGCTACTCAAACGGGTGACGGCATGTGTTCAGCCCTCCGGATTAAAGACAAGACACCTCCCACCCCCCCAGTCCTGACTTTATTTCTAGCAAGATGAGATGACATCATCTTTTTGTGAGAATCAAGAACTTCTCTGGTATTACAAAACAACTGAATTTTATTTCGGCAGAACTAAAAAAATCATGTATTTATCTACATTGTAATAAAAACAATGAAATTTTTTTTTTCCTTCATATATTCATCGCAACCAAACCAGGACACAGGTATCGGGCATGAAGCAACCCCGGGCGGGATGGTGGGAGGTGCCGGTACTGCCGGCGGAGGCGGCGTGCGAAGCCCGGCTCCCACCGGGGCCAGAGCTCGGGAGGGCTCGGTGCCCTCGCCCGCTCCTCACCACCCCCAGCGCGGCGCCGCGGGCAGCACCGCTCTGATGGGGGAAAAACCTCACGCCAGAGCACTGTAAGCACCAGAAAAGATGCACTTAAATACAAGTTTTCTCCTCCTCCTCCCAGTAAAGACGGCAGCCGTCACTTTTTGGCTAGGGGCTGCGATACTGCTCCGAGCGGCCCGGCAGCAGCAAGTAACCTGTTTGCAAAACCTGGTTGCCGAACATGAAAGATTACTATTTTGGGACACCTTTTACAAGAATGTTTATTCATATTAAAGCAGAAACCAACTCATAAATGCTTTTTATACACGTGTGTGCCTGTAAAAGACAGTATGGGACAACTCAAAAAGAAAAAGGCTGCGAGAACGATCCTCACTGAAGTCGGCGGTAACTTTTACAGAGTTCGTGGTCCCTAATATCTCCCCACCCTCCGTTTTTCACATGAGGGGAAAGGGGTGCCATGGAGTACCTTTTACTGACACTCATCGTTTCGGGAAACAGGTACTGTTGGTTGCTGTTCAAGAGAGAGTCGATTTTGGCACTCTGGGTGGATGGTCTGCAGGATTTCTTGTGGTGCATGCCACAGTCCCCCGTGTGAAAGATCCTGGGGATTTCGGGAACCAGCACTTTCCAGAACTTTGGAAGACAAGAGACAGTCAAGTGTTGCAGAGTCCAGTCCCAGTTGTAGTCATCGTAGGTGCAGAAGGCGTCCGTGCACTCGATGAGCTTCTGGTAGGTGTCTCTGCCGAAGGCCATGCCCATGTTGTGCTCGGTGGACTTCCACGTCTTCATCTCCACCTTGTCGGTGCGGCCGGCGAAGCCACCGCGGACGGGGCTGTAGGTGCCCAAGGAGACGATCTGGCACTCGGGGCACTCCCGCTCGCGCAGGGCCCAGAGCTTTTTGAGGACGTGGTAGAAGTCAGGCGCCAGGTAGTGGTCCTCCTCCAGGAAGAGGACGGGCCCGGCGTGCTCCCGCAGCGCCCGCACCCGCTCCCAGACGAAGTGCAGCTTCCACCACCAGTGGTGCTTGGTCTGGGAGAAGCGAGCTTCGCGGTAGTGCCCGAAGGAGTCGGGGTACTCGGCGTTGATGCAGCCCAGGCGCAGGGCCGCCGCCTTGCCCACGTCGCGGGGGCAGTCGCGGGGGTCGTGGCCGGGGAACTCGCGGGGGTAGAGCTGGATGCTGAAGGGGAAGAAGACCTGCAGGACGGGGCAGAAGTCCACGCGTGCCGCCAGCCGGTTGAGCTCCTCGGCCCACAGGTCGTGGCTCAGCACCAGCAGCACGTTCTCCACTCCCGCCGCCCGCCGCAGCGCCCCCAGCAGCAACCCCAGGTGCCCCGGCCCCGCGAGCACA